TATTCTGTAAGAGTACCAGAAAAGATATTATTCCATATAGAGTCTGCTGTATCCACCTCCTTTCTCTTCTTAAATATAAAGAGATACCAACCAGTTCTTTTAACCAAGACGATGAAAAAAAACAAACTACCAAACCTGTCAATTCTGATTGAGATCACTTGGATAATGTATAATAAAGTAGTAGGTTAGCAGGCTTTTTCTCAAGCTCTCTTCAAAAGTTCCCCAAAACTACTTAACTGAAAGTATGTGTATCTACTTCAGGAATATAACACTCCTGCAGTAGAGCCAGCCGAATGCAATTTTAATTTGACCCATGGCATATTCATTGTTTGTTGGATGCACTGACACGGTTTTCATTATTTTTAGATATGTTGCTGGTTCTAGCAGTGTGGTATGTCATTTTAATTATGTAGCATGTCAGTGGACTCATTAGTGCCTCATTGTATAAATTTAGAAATATGTTCTGTCTGTCAAGGGTGTATTGTCAGTACTTCTGCCCTTTGGTTTCCATTCTTCTCTATCTTACTTTTTCTATTTCTGCTGTCTTGTGTCTGCATCTCTACCCTTGCTTCTCTTAATTCCCAGGATTGATTCTCAGTTGCTACCCGCTGTCAACTTTCATCTCTTTCCATCTGACAAAAATGGTCAGGAAAGAAGTAATTAATGTTGACATTACACTAGGCACGTCTTTGCAACCATTAACGTGCCTTTTCTAATGCACATTAAAATTTAGTACCTCCAGTGTGAGGTACTTAATTAATGTGCATTAGGCTGTGCACAGCAGAGTATTTGCACACTTTTTTAGAGATGCTTAATGCACAGTAGACTATTTTACTGTGCATTAGTGTAATGTCACAGTTTTTTATGTGACAGTTTAAAGCGCAGTACAATAGTCTACTATGCATTAAAGCACATGTGTAGACACACCTTCTATACAGTTTACTTTTAGCATTGATGTGCCATGCTGTTTAGTGGAACTGAAGGAGGTCAGACCTCTGAGCTGTTGATTTATGCCTTTCACATATTGAAAAATAAAATACATTATCTATTACATCTGAAATGTTAGACATCTTCTGAAGTAAATTTTGGGTTCTGTACAAGCTAGATTTTTTACAAGGATGGCCACAGCCATCAAGTAGGATTGAGCTGCTGATTTTAGAAACTTGGATTTATATGGTGGAGCTAATTGTACTATATATAAGGGATCAAGCAACTATATATACTTTTCAGAATGTGGTGCTGTTCTCTTTGTCACTGTACCTATGTAGAGACAGGCTATGACGATTGTATTCAGGAAAGTTTCAGGGCAAAGAGATGGTAGAGTTAGGAGAGTTCTGTGCTGCATTGTAAAACTGTAGTATTGTAGAATTGGAACAAAAGAATACTGATAAAGAAGTAGGGATTTATCACAGATGGACCAAAACTTATTGTCAGTAGAGATGGATATGCAAGAAATGCAGAATCCAACCTGCTGTAAAAAAAATACAGACACTGACAAGCCTCTGCAAACTAAATGTTTGAAAATTTCATTTACAAAAGTTCATTTAAAAATCCAAATGTTTGCAACAATTTACTTAAATTGATACCTGGGATTTCTAAAATCAAGATAATCATGCACAGAAGCAGTTATGTACATCAGTTACTCTCAGCTACAAAAAATTATGGATTTATACCTTGGAGTCAAAAATAGGTCAAAAGTCTGGCCAAGCCACGTGGCCTATCAGACTGGCATGGTTATGGCATATCAGATTTGGAAGCAAACATCCCACAAGGGAGATTGTTAACATCATGCTCAGCTGCTTTTTATATCCTAGGTTGAATGGCCGTGTTTCATTTACTGGAAGAGTGTCATCCTCATATTGAGGGACTGCTGGAGCCATTAACATTTACATCTCAGCCAAGTAGTTTTGGCTTTCAGCTAAATCTGGACCAAGGCTTGAACTCCTAGGTCTGGACCATAGGAAGACTTTTTAACTGTTCTTAATACTAAATATGGTTTCTAAAACACTTGGGTAATAAATGGCTTTATTTAAAAGTGGCCCCTCTCCCTTCCACTGCCGGCATCTGCTACAGCCACCCGGAGTTGGCACCAGGCTGTCCTGTGTCTGCTCTGCTGGCACCACTGCCCCATGGGGAGCCCAGAGATCGTGGTGACGTGGCAGAGACACAGGGCAGCCTGGCACCAGCTCTAGGCAGCTGCACCTGGAAGCACTGGCAGCAGGACAGGGAGGGGCTTTTTCCCCAGTGCTGAGCAGCAGTTTCTCCCCTACCACTGCAGCTCATCCTGGACAAAGCCCCTCCACAGGCCAGATCTGCCAAGCCCACAGCATTTGGTCATGCCCCCAGCTGGCCAGCCACTGGAGCAGTGAGGGGGGAGTGACCAAAATGGGGCAAGAGACCCTTTTTTGTGGGGGGGAGTTGCACACTGTGGGGCGAGGAAAGTGCTGGGGATGAGGAAAGTGCTGCAGGGTAGCAGTGCTGGGCGGGGGGGGGAGTGGTCTAGTGCTGCTGTACTCAGTCCACCACAGCTCTGGGCCCCAGTGCTGCTGCACACAGCCCACTGCAGCTCTGCCCACCCTGCAGTGGGACCCCCCACCAGGAAGAGGCTTGCAATCCCAGACACTATTATGGGGTGCTCCCCCACCAGGGGCCCTGTCCCCTCCCACTGCAGTAGTCTGATGGGGGCACAGCCAGCCCATAAAGCCCCTTCAGGGGCAGGGATAGGGTTATTCCTACTCCCTCCATTGTCCGGTGAAGGGGACAGCAGGGGCCTATTCCACCTCAGGGAATAAGCTTGGCAGTGACAGGGGGGGCAGACCTGGATGCCAGTAGGGGTGGAGGGGAGACTGACCCCCTTCCCTGCCCCCCTCTGCCTTAGGGGCCACGGTGCCAGTTGGAGCAGCAGGAGGGGGAAGCAACTGGCAGACCCAATTTGGGTAACTGCCGGATGGATAGGGAGGGGGGAATTAAATCCTTCCTTGGCCAGACCCCCACCCCTATCTATCTCTGCTCCATCTGGGGAGCAGAGGGGGAGGGACATCCTGCCTGGGCTGGAGCAGAGTGCCCAGACCAGAAAGCATGGCAGGATGCTGGGGGGAGTCTTGTTTAATTTAAACCAGAAAGAAGTTTGAGACAGACAATGCATAAACTGATCTGAGCCAAATCAGTTAGGTCTGATACTACATTCAACCCAGTTTATCTTAAACTGGTTTGGGCCATTTTGAACCTGGTTTATACACACTGAATGTCTGTTCTCTTAGTTTTAAACCAGTTTCTGATAGGGGTGTGCGAAGCTTCAGTTGCTGATTCGATTCGACGGAGATTTGGCCTGATTCAGTGACCGAATCGCCAAATCCAAATTGAATCAAGAGACCCTTTAATCTCTCCAAATCAAATTGGAATGCTCCAAATTGATTTGGAGAGATTTGGAAAGATTTGACAATTCAGACATAGACACAGCTTTAAATGTTTTTTCTACATACCTCAAGGTACCAGGCAGCTCATGAATATTGAGATTCTGGGACAGATGGAGTGTCCCACAGGAGTGCGGGGGGGAGGGGCAAGTGCACTGGGCAGCAGACCCAGAAGTGGACCAGAAGCACTTACAGTTCACTTCCAAGTCCCCCAGGGGGTACGTTGCCCCCCCCCCACACACACACACACATTCCTGGCTTGGCGACTCATGCCGCCTGGGTCTGGGGGGACACCTGGGGACCTGGGGTCTCCTCATGGCTGATAGCTGAGCCAGAGATGTGTGGGGCTGGGGGGGAGGGGGCAGCACACTTGGCACTGAACCTGGAAGTGGACCAGAAGTACTTCCGGTCCACTTCCAGGTTTGCTGCCAAGTACACAGGGGGCTCCCCCATGCTCCTGTGGGACACTCCATCCACCCCAGCATTGCAGCATTCATGAGCCACACCTGGTACCTCGAGGCATGTAGACAAAACATTTAAAGCTATGTCTATGGCCGAATTGCTGATTCTCTGAATCGGCATCAAATCTTCAGATTCGGCCAAATTGAATTGGGACAGTGATCCAAATCAACAAATCAAATCACTGTCCCTGATTAGGGCCAAATCCAAAATGAATATGGCCCATTTTGCACACCCCTAGTTTCTGATCATTTAACCTGGTTTATATGTAATGTCTGTCCCTAGCCTCAAATTCTGTGCCAGGCAACATTAAAAAAAAAGATCAGGTAATTTGCCAAAACATGGCTATAGAAGACAAGACAGATGTCATCTGCAGTGAGAAGAAAAAGTGTAACAAAAATGGTGAATCAGTTTTGACACATTATTCACAAAAGATGGAGAATAGGTAGAAACCATATACAGAATAGGGACTCTCCCGTTCTAGGTGCTCTGGTTGTGGTGGTGGTGATGATGCCAGTGTGAGAGAAGAGTTGTTAAACCTGTAGATTTGATACTGACATGGATGTTCTCACTATATATTTTATACTGTTTCTTCAAATATTGACCCTAACATGAGATGGTGTAATCTGGCTCCTCAGGGGATACCATTATAATGAGAAACCCAGGCTTGCACACAGAGGAAGTTTGGTTTGATTTGCTATGTGTATAGCGTTTCTGTGCTATGAGATACACTGAGTGTAACATGTTATCTAATTTATGACATTTGTCCTATAGTACAGAAGCTGTCATATTGTGTAAAGAAATGTGTGTTGATTCAAGAAACAACAAGATGAAAAAAATAAATTGTTAGCTTTTTGATAGATTAGCTGGACAGAAAATGAAGAGCTTGAGTTTATTCCCTAGCAGGCCATATTTTTCACCAAAGGTAACTGGCAGGAAGATAATGTAAAGATGATGCATCTTAGTTGGCAAATTCCTGGGGAAAAAAACAAAACCCCTAACTTCCATGCTAACAAATTAGTAAATAATATTTTCTGCCTGGATATTCCTGTAAATAGACTGTGCTGTGTGATTATGACAATACAGTACATATGTCTTAAATCCTTTCATTTCATGGTTTGTTTACAGCATCAATAGCATCAACGTGTAATGATCCTGGGACTCCACAGAATGGTACCAGATATGGAGACAGCAGAGAACCTGGGGACACTACTACCTTCCAATGTGACCCTGGATATCAGCTCCAAGGGCAGGCTAAAATTACTTGTGTGCAGCTGAATAACCGATTCTTTTGGCAACCTGATCCTCCTACATGCATAGGTATTGAGATGAATTGTTAGAGTTCTTGGGGTTTGTCAATTACCGATCATATTACCATTCATATGTTTTCAGATTGTGATCCTACAGATGTATTGATTTCTGTAATTCTCAGTCTCTTAATCCCAGAACCCAGGTGTCACACCTTTTAAGAGATTGCCTTCATTGTTAGGCTAGCGTCATGCCCTTTTTAAGTCGTTCTCAGCCTAGTGAAAGTTGAATTATTGACTCTAGAGTGGCACAGCTTGAACTGGAAGAATGGATGGGTCCCATCCCAGTCCTGCCCTTAGTCTGCTGATTAAGACCCTCTCTTCAGAGATGTAGAATAAGTTTTTTGAAGCCCCTCAGGATGAAGAGGGCCTAAAACTTAGGTCTCCCATTTCCTGGATAACTGCTGTACTCACTAACTTGGTCCTTAAAAGGTGAGCACCACCTCTCCTTTAACCACATTTTTGAGTGGAAGTAGCCTGTATGCAGTGCTTTTTGCTAAACTCAGCATCACTGGGTGTGGGTTAAGTATGCCTACTGGCTTGGGTCCCTCAGGAGATCTAGGTATGGGGAGATCCAGTTAATAAATCTCAGATGGCATTAAGAATAATATAGTGCTGAAGTGCTCAGCTCCTAATGTGACATCACCCTTGGTGATATCAGACATTAGGCATCTATCTAATTTTACTGCCAAAAACTTGGGTGTCTACAGATTCCCAGGTACCTAAGTGATTAGGCAGATTTTTCATGGATTGTTCACTTGGTTTTAGGTGCCTAATGTCTGCCTCAGTTGCACTTTAGGAAAGCATCCCCACAAGCGCACACATGGTTTACAGCACCTCAAAGCCAACTGAGGTGCAGTAAACCACACATGGCACCTGTGCACCACACTGCTAATTAGCAGCTCTGGGGGTGGGGGGGTTACACCAGGAAATCCCGGTGTCAAAAAACCTCACCACTAATAAAAGCAGCATGGCACATATAGCAGCAGCATGCACCACCAGAAACAAGCCTGGCTGGCTAGAGCTATGCTCTGACTTCTGGTTAGGCTCTGAGTGGACAGCTCAGCACCTCTGCTGCCCTGAGAGGCCCCCAGGATCCCAAGTAAGGGAGGCTGGAGCCAGCAGCCTCCCCTACCTCGCACTACTGCTATTTGTCCCACAGGAAGTGCATGCCCCTGCACATGGGTGCTTGTGTAGATGTGCCCTAGGTGTCTAAGTGCTTTTCTGAATCTTGACTTTAGTCCTATAGTCTTAGGTTCTAGCCTTGCCCCTTGCTACCATTTAGGTAAAAAATATTCCCCATTTTATCCGTTGAATATTAAATGCAGAATGAGCTAGCTTCAAGGGGAGGGACGTAAAGCATTCTGCACATGTGGTGGTAGAACACTTCTTTATAAAGCTGGAGATATAGATTCAAACCTCTCTGGGTAAGCAGGACCTAGAATTTGGGTTTTCTGCTCAATGAGAAACTCCCCTAACCATTGAATAATTAGGCTAAAATCTGCATGGCCCCTCCTTCTCTTCTACCTCTACTCTTTCCTATGCTGCCTGCAGCTCACGCTACACTGGTTCCAACCCAAGCACCACATGCAGCATGCAGGGCTGGGGCTGGTCCAGCTACCTAGATGGTGGATCTGGCCAGCAGGCCATTTGTTTGACACCCCTCCCTTAGATCATACTAAATCTGTGGAATGGTAAGTGCTGTATAAGTTAGAACTTGCTGTGAGCAGTTGCATTTTAAGTGTTAATACCATTTCTTTCCTGTGCAACTCTGACTTGCTACTAGAGAGCTGGCAAGCCAGGGCATGGCATCTAGACTCTAGCCCTGCTTTGGATGGGTAGGGCTGGAAGCAGTGCATCCTGGGATTCTGGAGGATTGCAAATGGCTCATTTTATCTTCATGGAACAGACTGAAGTTACCCTAACACAAACCAGATAGCACGTCCCAGAGTTAACCATCACCTGAACTGAAGTAGTTTTGAGGGCATGTAGTTTTGAGGCTCTCACAGTATCATAGGGGACTGTGGGGGAAGGGAGTGAATGGTGTACCAAGATCAGCTCTAGGGAGTCCATACCAGCTGGGTTGCTGCATGGGTATATGGTGAACCCACCCCTCAGGTCAAGAAATATAAGCCCATGCTGCTACAAGAAGTGTAACAGCTACCATCCAAGCACAGAGAGCAGGGAAAGGTAAGTTCCTCCTACCTCTGCCCCAGGTACTGAACTATTTTGTTGTGCCTCTGGTAAATAGGACATGTTTTCAGGGCAATGGAGCTGAAATTAAATAAGAAAGGGAATCCATGGCTCATACCAGTTGGAATTTCAGACTTTTGGAGAACTGTGAAATAAATGTATAAAATGGGATCACTTCTTTCAAGTGTATGGGCTTTGTTTGTGGGACTGCAAAAGGGGGGAAAAAAAAGATTAGCTAGAAATATAAAAGCTGGTTTAAAAAATAAAATAAAATTATAAAAGTCAATTTGTTTTATCTTAACTGTTTTTCCCTCATTTTTCAGTCAAACATGTGACCACTTACTTTTTATTTCTGTGTTGTGACAGCTGCATGTGGAGGGAACCTGACAGGCCCAGCGGGTGTTATTTTATCACCTAACTACCCACAGCCATATCCTCCTGGGAAGGAATGTGACTGGAGAATAAAAGTAAACCCTGACTTTGTCATTGCCTTGATATTCAAAAGGTACCATTTCTAGAGAAACGCCTCTGTGTAACAGGTTTTTAAATGTCACATCTAAAAATTACATCATTTATCATTTCATAGAGTTCCTAATTACATTTCCTAGCTAAGCCCTAGAGCATGTATCTAATACCTACCATATCATTGTTTCAGAATAACATAAAAGAAAATAACTCATTTAACTGTATAGCACTTTCTGATGCCAAATACGTAATTTGAACAGAAAAGCCATATGTGATTTATGAGGTTTAATGCCCTAAACATACATTTTACTTCTATTATGTGTCTAACCATTGAAAAATGGAGAGTGATGGCTCTCTGTATTCATGGGGAATAAAACTACCCTGAGAGATTTAAATAAATGCATCTCATTGTCTTATTAATGTAATAAATGCATTTTGCGATACCTAATATAGCTACATACAATTTCTTGTCTGGTGAAGTTTCAAGGCTAGAATTAAAGTGAATTATCATTAAGGAATTGATGATTTGCTAGAACCAAAAAGGTAAGTTTGAATAAAATGATAAAATAAAATCAAACCTTTAACAAGCATCTTTAAAATTATTTAATGTCCACTTGGAAGAAAAAAGGATAATAAGCTAAGATAATTATTATGAAGATGATACTGCATAAACATCTAGTAGACAATCTTTCAATCTAATGTTTAAACTTAACCTTATATATTTGTCTGGAAGAATCTGTTAAAACTAAGGAATTATTCTGTTATTTATTAGCTTTCCCTATGGGCAGTCTAGTGCATAGGCAAGATACTGATCATCCTTACTTTTATTATTTTCAATGCAAGTTGGACTTCTTTGGCACCTTGTTACATTCATCTGTATGCTGCTTATACAAAAGTGATCACAACTCTTTTTATTTACTTGAAGCCCATTGGAAGATAAGTAATTTAAAAATATCAAATGTTTTATTATCATATTTTGTATGTTTTCTAAGGAAAAAACCCCCCATTCACATAGACAAGTCAAAGGATTAGTAAAATACCTATTGTAGGGAAGACACGGCCACAATAATCTTGTTTCCAATATCATTACTGTCATGGGATGAGGTCCCCAAGGGTGGTGGTGATGTTCCTGGTGGCTTTGCAACTGTGCCAGCTCTGCCCGAAGGGCACCCTCCTGTCTCACATGCCACGTCTTGATGGTAAAAAAAAAATATGAGTCGGGAGGCTGCCTACAGGCCTTCTTGTGGTCCCAGTCTGCTGTACTCCATAAGAACTCGCTCATCCTTGGGCCCTTTGCTGGATTTCAGTCTAGTACTGTGCTGAATGGGGCACCTCAAACCTTATGGGCTAATTGCATGGCTCTAAATCTCCCATGCAACATGCCCCATGCCTCACAGGTGTTACATGGATGTTGTTTCCTCTGTTGGGACTTCAGTCTCCACCCCTTTAATCTGGCTAGACCTTATAGCCTAGGCCCATTGTGTCAGACTGGGCTTTGAAGCACTAGCTCCAATTGGTTTCTTCCAGTCACTGGGCCCCTAGCCCCTGTCTGCAGGGCCTCCGGTTTCTGCCTGACTGCATCCTCCTGGCACCGGGCCTTCCGGCCCTATGTGGCTGCACCCCTCTGGCCCTATGTGACTGCGCCCCTCTGGCACCAGGTCCTCCAGCCTCTTGAGTAGCTACGTCCCTCTAATGAGGCCTCCATACCTCCCCTGACAGCCTCATCCCAAACCTCCAGTACAACCAATAACACACACATAAGCCCCTGGGCTGTAACAGAACAATAGCAATGATGACCATGCTCTGCTCCTTTAAGAAAGCAAACTTCCACCCCTAGGACAGGTGTCTCCCAGCCCTGGGTATCTTCTGGGGTCCTGGAGCTGTACCGTTCTTGTAGGCAGCAGAGCATGTCTCTAGGTAGCTCTCTTGGGCAGGGGCTCCCTCCCCTGGCAGTCTCCAGAGAGAGTGGACTCTGCCAGCCCCAGGCCTGAGCTTTATATGTTTCCAGAGCACCTGCCTCCTTCCAGTCAGCTGACTGCCTGGGCTAATTACCTCATTAGCCTGTTGCTCAAGCAACTTGTAGCTGTGGAGCTGTGCCTGGCCTGCAGGGCTCCCTACTTAGGCTGCTTCTGCCCTTAAAGGAGCAGGCACATTTTAGTGCCATGTGACAATTACAGATACTTCATGCAGAAGATACTGTTTTTGGTTCAAGAAGACAGCTTGCAGTATTATTATCTTTTTCTAGGAGCAGTATTCTCCCTTTAGACAATGGGCCATGTATGGAAGGATGACTAACAGGGACAAAAGAAATTAAATTAAAGGGCAAATTAAGATAACAAATTGTGCTATAAGCATGTTCTAACAAGGACATGTAAGAAAAGCAAACCTTGGTAAAGGCTACATTTATGTCTCTTAGTTCCCTTTTTAGCCAAAATAAAATCTAAGCCGTGCAAGTGAAAAAGATATTAAATATATAAGGAAATAAGTAAAATTAGTGCCCGTGGGCACATCTACATGTGTTCTTTAATGTGCATTAGCCTATTTTAATGATCATTAAATCATCAGCAAAAAGCCATGCTCTTTAGCTAATGAGTGTTAAAATAGGTGAATGCACCTTTTTCTAGTACCTCACAATGGAGGTACTATTTACCTCCATTATTGTGATTTAATGCACACTACCTAAAGTACATTAATTGGACACGTCGGGTGCCTGTACATGAGCCAGGAGGCTTCTCTGAAGTACTGTAATTACAGCATATAAATACTTGATTAGTCAAGTCTGCTGGAGCATGGTAATTACTGCACTTCAGCCAGCCCCCACACTCATTTAATGAGCATTAGATAAAGTGCCTCCACCACCATTCTGAAGCACAGGGACATGGATACATGAGATGCCCTGGGCCCTTTAATTAGAGTGGCTGTGAAAGCCACTCTAATTAAGGCACCCTTCCACCCCTGGAGCACTTGTAAAAACACCCATAGAGACACCCTGTTTCATGTTTAACTTATATGACAACAACATTAGGAAATGTAAAATATTGAGCAAAATATGTATTAAAGCTTTTTATTACACAATGTACACTTTAAAATATGTATTTATTAAAACATACATTTGCTGTCTTTCTCATTTGCCAAAAAAGCCAGCAATCCCTTTGTAAAGCAAAGTTATATTCAGAGCTTTCAAAAGGTCATTGCTATACATATCTAATAGCTTTATCAACTGGAATATGAAGCTGCTACTTATGTAGATCTGTTTTGCATGCATGTTGCTTGCTTTGACAAGGAAGAGAGGTCTTTGTTGTCTTACATCAATGGTCCACTAAATAGGAGGGATTCACATATATATTGTAATGTTAAAAAAACATCATTATGCTCTCCTTTCATAGTAGTGAACTTCTAAATTGTACCTAGGTGTGGTTGCTAATGGCTTATTGTCGCAGAGCTCTCAGGTGTCCTGTGACTGAGAGCAGAAACGGCTCAGGAGAGACCCCTAGTGGCGGGAAGGGGGAAGCTCAGCTGCCAGTCACCAGGACTGCACAGGTGCTGGTTGCTAGGGCAACCAAGGAAACCTAGAGACAGGAAGGGGCGGAGCTTAGCCCTTCTTAAGCCCAGGCAGGAGGCCAGGAGGGCAGTTTCCCTCTGGCGGCCGACGGAGAAGGAACTCGGCCAGCACAAGTGGAGAACTCTTGTGGTGGGAACATCCCCTGATTCCTGCTGGGGTTTGGTGCACTCACTGTCTCTGGTAGGGATGGATTCTTATATTTTTGACCAGGACAGTCTAGCTTTTATGTTGTAGCCTGGGGGCTTTGTGTTCTTGTGTTCATTGTTTTGACCAGAGGACCGGGTGAGGCTATTAGGGTTTGGAGGAGACTTCACAGTAGTGTGGGGGTTCCTGGGACTGGAGAAGGTGCAGCATTGCTTGGGCTGCGTTGGCCCCAGCCCCAGAGTTGGGGGGCAGCGGGGAGCCCCGATGGAAGGGGGCAGCGGGGAGCCCCGACGGAAGGGGCAGCAGGGAGCCCCAACGGAAGGGGGCAGTGAGAAGCCCCGGAGCTGACACTGGCGAGAAGTTCCAGAACGGGCAGTGTAAGATGAGCTAGAGGGTGCTGGCAAGGGCGTAGGCTGAGGGACAAACTAGAGAGCGTCCATGCGCCACAGAGAGTAGGACAGACCTGAACAACACCAGATACATCTGCGAGGCTTGGGCTGTGGTGTAAGTGGAGGAAAGGAGCCGCAGATAGTGCCTCAGGCACCGAGACAGAGAAGAGGCAGCCTTCCGCTTGATTAAGATCTTTCAATCAAGAAAATAACAACAAGGCGTGGCAAGCGAGAAGGAAGGCGGTTGGCCCTTCATCAGTGTTGCGGGACCACTAATAGACGGCCCCGAAGAGGCACAACTGTCACACTTATCTATAACTTTTCAGTTTAGTATGAGTGTAAGTATATACATGTGGCAGATGGGAGCAAATTAGCTAATCAAAAATATCTTTAACTCCCACCTGAAATATATTTAAGATTAAACTAGTAATAAGCTGGGAAAGCCATACTAATGTGTATGTCATTATATTAATCTCAAAGTGGAAGAATCAAAACAATGTTCCCTTGAAAGAATTCATAATTTTATTTAAATGGTTTAATAAATATAATTATTTTATAGCAATGTACATCTGAAAACCAATAGTCTTTATTTGTATACTAATATCAGTGGTGTAGCACAGGTTTTAATTAAGTTGAAGGTTTGGCTTATTTTGTCTCTCTTGTGTGTCATGTCTTTTCCTGTTGGCACCTGGAAGATCTACCTTGCAAGAGGAACTCTTTTGCAAGAAGGAATGTTTGCACCAGAGACTGCCTGGTCTAGGGACCAGGTTCAGGGGCTTTGTTCTGTTGGGCTTCTCTTCTGTCCTGTACCAGGTGGTGACAGGGAGTGGGATGGGACCAGTCATTGATGCTCCCTGCCTCTTCCTCATACCAAACAGTCCCTAGTTTGGGGAATGGGCTGGGGAATTTTCCCTACTTCTCCCTCAACTGCACACTGGAGATTACTGCCCCACTGTCCTTGGGGACTGGGAAGAGTGGAGTAGAGTGAGGTAGTTAGCTATGTTAGTTTGAAGTCAATCAGAAGGCAGGGTAGATTTGCATGTTTATAGACTAATTAAATAAGATAAATGTATGTAGTGCTAGCTTTTGTGTACCAAAGTTCACTTCATCAGATGCTGTGAAAAGGAAATGCAGAAAGCAGAGTCTAAGGAAAGAGAAATTAGAATACAAAATACAAGGGACAAGAGAGAAAGATAGGGGGAGGAAAGCAGTGCTAGAAGAGAAAAGCAAATGAGTATTAAACCCATAGGAATAAAAGGGTCACAAAAACTAATCCAAGCAATGAGATAAGAACCCATAGTCTTGGTTTAAAGCATACTTAGCAGAGTTCAGTCTGTGGATTTCTTGTTCTGCAGTTTCCCATTCAAACTAGTTTTTATTTTATTTTTTATTAGACTTTATTTTTTACTGAGAAAAATTAAACCCAAGGTCAGTAAGGGAGTATCCAGGGAGGGCAAAGTGTTCTACCACAGGCTTCTGTGTCTTTCTGCAGCTAATGTCAGCTGATGTAATTCATTCTTATACATAGAGATCACCCTGTTTGCCTGATGTAGACAGCAGAAGGGTATTGTAAGCAGGTGATGACATATATGATGATGGTAGAGTTGCAAGTGAAGTAATCTTGGATATTGTACTCCTTGTTATTAGGTACAGTGATGGTGTGGGGACATGGCAGGCATTTGGATCTATTGGAAAGACTGGTGCCTCCATGAGGATAGGGATGTGTTAATCTGTTGTTTGAGAGATGCCATTTGACATGGGGGGGGGCGGGGAGGGTGGCGCTGTTTGTAAACCAAGACAGATTTGTTCCTAAAGGATGCCTTGGGACAGTCATCCCTTTCCAGGAGGAGTTGGATGTCATCAGTAACATCTTAGGTATTCAAGATGTAGATCAGAGGGATTCTGTAGTGCTTGCCCCAGAGTTGACATAGAAGGTTGGAGCAAGGTCTGAGTCTGGGATTTATTTTGTGATTGTTTTGTAATTGTAGGAATCTTTGCTCTAGGTCCGTAAGGTGTTTATCCTTGTCAGTGGGGTCACAGCAGATCTGGTTGTAATGTAGAACTTGTTTCTAGATAATGAATCTAGTGATATATTTAGGATGAAATTTGGTGGAGTGAATGTAGCTGTGGTGGCAGGTAGGTTTCCTATACAATGGGTGTGTCTACATGTGTACATTTACTGTGCAGTACAGGCATGTATCTACATATGCATGCCCATACTGCACAGTAAATATGGTGATTTACGCTGACTTGAGTGTAAATTTGGTATCTGTATCATGCAGGGTATCACATTTACACCCAGTTAGTTACTGCACAGTAATGCACATGTAGATGCCTTACTGTGCAGTAACACTGTGTGTGTGGACTGATGTGGAACTAACTTTAATTACACGTCAGTCGACACACAGCATTAATGTGCTTTAATAGCTGCACATGTAAATGGTGGCCTATTCCTTCTTAAAACACAGTAAATTTAAGCTGGCATAAATGCTTGTGTAGACATGCCCAATATAGTGGTAATGTGGAAACGCCACTGGTCACTTGCCTTCCGCAGACTAGGAGCACCCTGGTCAGGTGACAGGGAAGAGAGGGAGTACCTGCAAGCGGAATGCCTGTACTCCTTCTTTTTGAAAGATATCTAGCAATGGGTATTTTGCAGAAATTTCTACCTCTAGAAATGAACACCTATTTGTGACCTATTTCTACATTTTCATTAATAAAATATACTTCCTGCAGTTTGACTTGGTCTCATTTCGCTTTCACTTGAATAATGTGTAATGAAATAGTGATAGGCTATTCTCAGTGGTGGCAGATGACAGAACAAGAAGCAATGAACTCAAGACACAGCAAGGGAAGTTTAGGTTAAATATTAGGAAAAATGTGGTGCATGCCCTGGCAGAGTGTTCATGGGATATGAGGAATTTAATCCCATATCCCAACGATTGAATATCCTGCCATGTTATACTGTGAACATCTGGCATGGCAGGACACATAATTATTGATTTCTGGGATAAAAGTGTTCAGATCCCATAATGTAATTAAATTAATATCTGCCAGGGGCCTAGTGGACCTGCACAACCATTTTGTTAAAGCAGTACTGCTGTCTTTCTTGATATACCTCACAGATGCTATATTTAACATAATAGTAATATGTATTATTATACTTCTACAATTTATTTGTATAGAAATAAAAATAACTTATAGTATGACCACACTTTACATGAGAACGCTTCAGTTAAAATTCTATCAATGTTAAATTTTTGATTGATCAGTATTTACAAGGCATGTAGAATTTGGATTGTAAGATATCCCAATTCCTTATATTTTTAGAGACCTTTTCTTGTGCATAGGTTGACATCTTAGGTAGAAGACAACTACAGAACTGATGTAGTTATACTTTAAAAACAAAAGCATTGCTATTTTCTTTTTTCTTTCATTTCAGTTTCAGTATGGAGCCCAGTTATGATTTTCTGCATATTTATGAAGGGGAAGATTCCAACAGTCCTCTAATTGGAAGTTTTCAAGGCTCCCAGGCACCTGAAAGAATTGAGAGCAGTATTAATAGCCTATTTCTTGCATTTCGAAGTGATGCTTCTGTTGGCATGTCAGGATTTGCCATTGAATATAAAGGTAATGTTGTCAAGATAATATGTCCTACACAGAAAAGAAGAAAAAAATCTTGATTTAGGATCTATTATATTAGATAGATAGATAGATATGCAAGCATATATAGATATAGATAGAGAGAGAGCGAGAGAGCGATATCTATCTATCAATCTATCTATATATATGCTTGCATTTCATATACTTGTCAGATAGTGCATAATTATACTTTAGGACATTAACAGTGTTTCTCTATTGCTGTTAACCCTTTAACATATTGATATTGTTTTGCTATGTATCACTTAGAATCAGCCATCTTAAAATGTTCTATGTAAAAACAATATATTATACATCAAACTCTCTTTTAAATATATTTCAAGAAACTTGGTCTATAGGTGGAGGCTGGGAAGTATTTCATTCTAAAGTCTCACCTTCCTGTTTTTCACTCACTTTATCTTTTTAAAAATTCTTTTCAGCAAATATATGCTGAGTAGATACATGAAAAGGAATTTTATCTTTCTCTTTTGTGACATTCCTGTACATTCTTATCATCTTAGAGGAGAATGGAGGGTACAAGTTAAAAAAAAAAAAGGAAATAATGTTTGAAGGAGGTTATACAATAATGGAATTGTCTCATTCAATTAGGATTCAGAGATTCTGTATGTTTACTTATATCCATAACAATATTTTTTTCCCCTAACTACTTCACAGTGAGCAATTTTTAGGTGATTTGTATACACATATATCAATAACTATTCAACAAATGACTTCTTATACTTAGGCTGGCACCTATTATTAGCCACTCAGAGTTCAGAGGCATAATTGCTTGCTAATTATTTTTCAGTCACCATACCTCAGATTTACCAGTTACTTTGCTTAGCTCCTGATTCTCTGCTAAAATTGTCATCTGTGGTCAGTTTTTTCAAACTTTTTGTTAGTAGAAAAAATATTGTCTCAGCTTTTCATCCGCTTCAACTGAATAAAACCTCCATAATATGCATGAAAGAAAGGAGAAACAAATAAAACTCAAAGCATATGAAAATGTCAAACCACAAAAAGTGAATGAGCTTAAAAAGAAATATTAAAGTTCCCTTGTACTCATTTCCTAACTTCTTTCTGTCCTCATACTTTTCCCTGCAGGCCAGCAAGTCTCTTCTTCCCAGTGTAATTGTCGTATTTGCATTTACATTGTTTGTAGAGGGAAACCTGGCCTTTTCTCTCACAACTGAATTTGAAATATAATGTAAACAAAAACAGAATGCAATTTAGTCTAGGGAGGAAACCTTGCTGATTTTGTAAGGAAGGAAAATGGGGAAGTCAGGCAAAAGAAAGGAGATGAAAATTCACTTTCCAATAGCATATGTGTAGATCATACACAATTTCTTTTTTAGTTTTAGTTATGCATTACATATAATTATGCTATATATGTATGCTTCACATTATACATGTACATAAAAAAGTTCACATTCTAAAATACCATCTTGTTTTACTGATGCATATTATAAACCAAAGAATGAATTAAGCATCAAACCTAATATTGCCTATTAATTCTTTAAGAACCATTGATGCTGAAACATTAGCATGTAAAATGCGGTAAGGATTTGTTCTAGAATAATAGCTGGTAAAACTCTCCAGCTTCTGGCGTATTTCATGGCTGTGGAAACCAATGATATGTGACATCCTGACTCCTTCCCTCTCCCCTCATCCATTAGTTTGCATTAGCTAGTTTTCAAAAAGAATGAGTGAAATCTTGGCTCCTGTGACATAGGATTCATAACTCTTGTCTTACACCAAATATATAGTTCTTTGATACACTACACTACATATTTTGATAACCTTTTAACTAACGGTCTCAGTTTTAACTGATGAAACTTGACATCTTAAATTAATCATGGTATTAAACTCTTGTAAATCTGAAGAAGAAAAGAACTAACCAACAAAAGTTTATTATAAATTCACAATGTTATATCTGTTTCTGCAAATAGACATCACGGTTATCCTAGGATAAGCTATTTTATCCCAAAAATGAGTGCAGTTGTACAGACATCCATGTCTGCTTTTCCAGGATAAATCCTAAAAATGTTTCCCAGATGAGCAGTAGTAACAGTTTATCCAAGGATATTGCAAACTATGTCTGTACATTTATCCTGGGATTACATCATTGAATCAATGGTAGAAAAGCATCACTAAACCATGATGCTCACTAAACCCTGATTAGAAGGATGATGTGTGTACACATCAATCCAGAGATATTTTTGTTTCAGGACAAACACAGGCACAATTTGTCCAGGGAAAAATATGGTATATCTTCCTAGCCTTGGCATCTTTCTAATTGGGTAATTGCGAAGTCCATGAAATTCTTTGGCTTTTAGTAGAAAATATAAATGTAAAATTGAGGATTCTAGAAATGACAGGCATTTCTTTTACTTTACTGGAATATGGTAAACTCACATAATTTTTATGTAGTTAAAAATAAATAAAGCAAAACTGAAGAAATTTAATCTTCTTGGAGGCTTGGAGGTACATTTTCTTAACATGATGCAAAAAGATATAGGTGTAATTTTCTTGGACAAGTAGATAATCTTTGGAAAGCAGCAATATCCCTATAACCATTTTTTAAAGATAGAAACACATTTTAATTACATGATTGTAAAGTCAATATAATTAAAAAAAACCCTGCAGATTGTCAAATTTATTTTTTCTGCAAGGATTATCACATTGAGAGTGCTTTTTTATTCACATCCCCTTTCAACAGAAAAACCACGAGAAGCTTGTTTTGACCCAGGAAACATAATGAATGGAACAAGAATTGGAACAGATTTCAAACTTGGATCAACTATTACCTATCAATGTGATTCCGGATATAAGATTATTGATCCCTCTACTATAACATGTGTGATTGGCATTGATGGAAAACCAGCATGGAACAGAGCATTGCCATCTTGTAATGGTATGTATTGCATGCAAAAATGTTCTCTCCTTTTTTTTCTGTGCAGTTTGGAAATTCAGAGAGAGCAGTTCTAAATCCTACAGGTTATTTACTGCTGTTTCCAAACACATATCTAATTAATATAATGCTTTTTTATTTATAACAATTATAATCCAAATGGTTGCGTGTTCATGTACTAATTCATTCATTTTTTAAAATTATTTAATTTTTAGGTATAATGGGCACACTTTAATGTTTGCATTTGTTACTTATATAAACATCCTATCTTTTTCTTCCCATGGGGCATAGAATAAGTGATTTGGTAGATGATAAAGTGTCCACTGAATATTATACTAGACAAGAGACTAGCAATTAATTTCAAATAAATACCAGCTATCAAGTGTTAATAACATAACTTGTCTTATTGCTTCCTTTTGTTCCCCTTGTTCTTTTTATCACAAGGCTTAAAAAACAGTTTTTACTCTGAAAAATAAAAACTTAGGGGGGATATGATAATCATCTTCTAATACTTTAAGTGTTGTAGAACTGGAGTGAGCAAAATACAGCCCATGGGCCAGATCTAGCCTGCCAAGGGATTTTATCCAGCCTATAGCAGGTACCTCAGCCCCATCCATCCCAGGCATGGCGGGGGGTAGTGGGGACCAGCCCGAGCCGTGGCACATGCTGTCAGTCCTGCC